GAAGAAATATCAACAACCTCAGATATGCAGATGATACCACTCTGATGGCAGAAAGTGAAGAGGAATTAAAGAACCTCTTAATGAGGGTGAAAGAGGAGAGTGCAAAAATGGTCTGAAGTTCGGCATCAAAAAAACAAAGATCATGGCCACTGGTCCCATCACCTCCTGGCAAATAGAGGGGGAAGATATGGAGGCAGTGGCAGATTTTACTTTCTTGGGCTCCATGATCACCGCAGATGGCGTCAGCAGCCACAAAATTAAAAGACACCTGCTTCTTGGGAGGAAAGCAATGAGAAACAGTATTCAGGAGTTCTGGCTATCTGTAATAGGGATTTCCACCACCTTACTGGCAGGAGAAGATGGTTGGACAGTGTCATCGAAACTAACAACATGAATTTGACCCAACTCTGGGAGGCAGTGAAAGACAGGAGGGCCTGGCATGCTCTGGTCCATGGGGTCACAAAGAGTCAGACAGGACTTAATGACTAAACGAATGAACGTCTGCTCAAATTACTTGCAAATGACTACAGCACAAACAGTATGACTTTGCTGGAACTTCAGTGAAAACAGTATTCAGGAGTTCTGGCTATCTGTAATAGGGATTTCCACCACCTTACTGGCAGGAGAAGATGGTTGGACAGTGTCATCGAAACTAACAACATGAATTTGACCCAACTCTGGGAGGCAGTGAAAGACAGGAGGGCCTGGCATGCTCTGGTCCATGGGGTCACAAAGAGTCAGACAGGACTTAATGACTAAACGAATGAACGTCTGCTCAAATTACTTGCAAATGACTACAGCACAAACAGTATGACTTTGCTGGAACTTCAGTGAAAACAGTATTCAGGAGTTCTGGCTATCTGTAATAGGGATTTCCACCACCTTACTGGCAGGAGAAGATGGTTGGACAGTGTCATCGAAACTAACAACATGAATTTGACCCAACTCTGGGAGGCAGTGAAAGACAGGAGGGCCTGGCATGCTCTGGTCCATGGGGTCACAAAGAGTCAGACACGACTTAATGACTAAGCAACAACAATTCAAACTCTTCAAGGGGCTTACTGACCAGTCAGTACACATAGAACTGCTTGACCCAACTCCTGGAGGCAGTGGAAGACAGGAGGGCCTGGCATGCTCTGGTCCATGTGGTCACAAAGAGTCGGACACGACTTAATGACTAAACAACAATCATTCAAACTTTTCAAGGGGCTTACTGACCAGTCAGTACACATAGAACTGCAATTGTAACTGCAAACAAAGGAAACTAATGTGGAAATTTATGACTACTGTATACTGTTAGAATAAAAATTGCTGTTATAAGGAGCATTACATCCAGCTTCATCCTCTGACATTTACCTATTAATAGGGGCCAACCTTACAGTGACTTGGAGTTTGATCAGAGTCATTATTAACTTAAATCCTATTGATTTCAATTAATCTCCTGTAAGCCTGGATCCAGCTCAAGGAACAGAGACTTTTAATGTATAATCCATTTGAAAGGTTAAAGTCATTGTGCATGTACTGTTTTGCAAAGAAAGATACAGTTATAATTAATCGAGAAACACTTATTTTGGCAAACTTTTATAAGAAAATCTCAGACCAAAGCTGACACATTTTCCTTTGTTTTTTTTCCCACAATGGATCCCTCCCACAGCTTAAGTTTTACTTCAAATCTCAAACTAATTAAGGCAAACCGGAAAAGACTGTAATTCTTAAAATTCTCTAATATTAGAAACAAAGGAGAACAGTCATGGAAGCAGATTTTTAAAGAAGACACCAAATACATGGCAACTAGCTCATCAATGATCACATACATAGCTATGGTGTGGGGGCAAATATTAAAATAGGAATTCATTTTGCATCAGAAGCATTACATGAGAGCAAATGCAGTTCATACTGACAAAAAGTCTCTAAATAGGTGAAATTGACAACTGTGACTGCATTGTCTTAATATTGACAGTTTAAAAAGCAAAAACCCAGGGGAAAATTGGTTCTCAGGCAATGAAGATATCAATTTCTTTGCACATATTCCTTACTGGAATCTCCTCAGCCCTTTTTATTTGGTCTCTAAGAAGAAGAAAGTACAAACATTTATAAATATAGGATACTGTTTATTTATCTCAGTTCCAGCATATTATTTCACAACTGCTTCTCGTTATTTGATGGATGGATGGATGCTTGCCTAGCTAATGACCTATTTAGGCCGCTTGGCCTGTTAAATAGAAAGGAAATGCTTGTGTAAGTGTGGGCTTGATGTCAAAATCTACAGCCCAGCAGGAGAGTTGATGTTTAGTAATCAATTATGCATTTTCCCTGAGATAGAGGCTTATGGAATCTAACACAGATGCTTTAGCACAACTGAAATCTTAGTGCTGTTATCATGAGGTGAGTACTTAATAAAACACTTACCTAACTGTGGTTTCCCTCTTTTTAAAAAGCCTGTAAGTCATTTACCAGGTAGCAGTTATATACCAAAGAAGAGTTGTCTGGCAATGGGAGGCAAGATCTATTGAACTCACTCAGTCTTAGTTTGGAGGAGACGTGAGTAAGTCTAGATTACTAAGATTTTGTGGTTAGTAAATAACATGGTTCTTCATTTTCTTGGAAGACTAATCTCTATCTGAGGGCATTTTCAATGAAAGAGGGCCATAGATAGGGCTTAGCTACCTGTACAGATTCCTTTTTGTCTCTAAATTTTTATTTAATGTTATGGCTTAGATCTAGAGTGGCTTTTTAAAGTGAAAATTTTGAACCTAGGGAGTGTCAATGAACAATAAAAGGGTGGCCTCTGAGCATTTGCAGAGTGCTCTCCCTTTCTTCCCAGCAAGTAAACCTCTGGAGTCGGAAGCCAAGAGTTCCAAGTAACAAAAATCTCACTCAATTTCAGGATTTTATAAGTAGCACCTGTCCCTCCTCCTCTCTCAGAGGCCTCTTTGCCTGGTTCATCTAGGGAAAATATGCAAGACTTTTCTCCAGCAGCATCACAATTTTCTCTTTTACCTTTAAGCCCATTTTCAGCCTGTTTCCTAAAAGTTTCCTTAAGATAAATACAATGCAAGTGAACTGTAGACGTCTTTGAATTTTGGTTTGTCCCCGGTAGGAACTGAAAGAAGGCTTACTTCTGGCCTTACTAATGTAATGTAAAGCACAACAGGCTATGGTTCACAAGAGGAATCATTGTAATTACCGCCTGGAGACTCAGCCTGCCAACATTTACATGGCTCTGCAAACAGTAGTTCGAAAATGGATGTTGGCCTTTGTTACTCAGCATTTTCAATAACATTGACACAAGATGAGGTCTGGATTATTCTTGTGCCTTTATCAGCAAGACACTTGGCTATGGAACTTTAGAGGGACATAAACATCCACCTGCCAACGCTTGCATTTTAAAATCCTGTGAGTTACCCAGCTTTTCTACTGTTGAGAGACTAGTAGAAAAGTTGGCAACCCCACACAATTCTGCACTGGCTCATGTACCTCCTGAAAAGCATCAGCACATGGATAGAACCATGTGTGTGAAGCTCGTATCAAACAGCTGTACCCCATGTTCTTTTAGATCTCCTAAAGACCAGCAAAAATGACTTTGTTTCTTTTTGAAGTAGAACTTGGAAACCTGATTTTTTAAAAAAACTACAACTGCCAGAATCCTCTAACAATCATACCAATAGAATAACAATCATACCCATGGAATACCACCAGTCTCGGCTGGTGGTATAAGTTACCATTTTCCAAAGGTTCCTTGTAAAAGAGTATCTAAAAGTGGGGAATTTTCAAATCCAGCAGCAGGTGTCAATCTAGTCTGAAACTTTTGCCAGCTGTGCTGATTTTCTCTTTGTATGTGTTTTATGGAGAACATAAAATAGTCATTCACTTGTAGTTATTACATTGTTATCTTCCTCTGTTGCAAACCTAGGTAAGACCTTAGGTTCTGGACTCATTAAACCTTTCTGCAGGCTGTCAGTTGGATTGGTAGCAGCTCTTCTATAATGTTTAAACATTATTTTGAAATACTAGGTACAAGACAAAGGCCACGGAAGAGTCATCCAGTCTCTTAATTTTCTAGGTTTATGTCCCTAAAGTAGTTTTCCATGCCTCCAAATCCCCTCATGTGTGTGAACAGTTCACCTCAGTTTGATGGATGCTTCTGCCATGGAGGTCTCTCTGGCTTTCCATAAAATCTGCTGATGCTCTGCTTTTATTTCTCCTTCAAGCAGGCAAAGCAGCAGGATGCTGTTCTTGTCGATGTTTTGATATCCTAGGCCTATAAATTGGGACAATTCTTGCTGTAGCTTCATAAGAAATCAATAGTTATTTATTTGTAGTACAGATCCATGCTGCGATGTTGATAGCAAAATCGGACCATCTCATCTCTTCAGTAAACTTGATTGTTATGGGAGGAGAATAAAATGTGACAAAAGAGAGCATCTTGTTGTGAACAGTAACATGTGTTGCTGCATAATTGGTAGTCAGTATGTAGCTTTAAATGACTTCTTTTTGCTATTTGCTTGAAGAATTGTCAGTATTCAGTTATTTCCAATCTGTGCTATACTGTCTGTTTTCACTGCAATCCACTATTTCAGCTCTCACCTGCTGTGAAAGTTGCTTTGTTAGCAACAATTGAGACACTTAGTCCATCAAAACTGAATAACATTTTTCTTCAAAAGGTGAACATAATTGTATACTAATCAAACTATTATGTAATAATAGAGTGGAGCTCAGAAATGGTTTGTAAACACACTGACCTCTCTCAAGACTGTGTTGCCACTGTGAAGGCCCTGCACTTGGCTTTGTATGTACATACTTGGACCGAATACGTTGAAATCCCATAGATGGGAATGGTAGTCATTCAATGTGCGTGCGTCATTGCTTAGTGGTTTGTGGATACTACAACCTTTACTTCAGTACCAGATAGGTGGCTCTTGTTTTAAGCCTTTCTCATTTAGCCTTTAAAACATAGTTTGTTCTCTGTCTAAATATAGAACATAGTGGAAATGGGGTTTCCACACATCCTTTTCTTTGATTTGGCAGGGTTTTGTTTACTTCCTTCATTATTTTCATGACTGAAGCATGATGCTGCAGTTATGTTAAATCATTTCCTGGAAAACTGACCTCATTTTCAATGACCCAGAAACAGTTACAAAGGCCATTATCTATTATGGTTCACCAATTATAGACATAATTATAGATAGATAGATAGATAGATAGATAGATAGATAGATAGATAGATAGATAGATAGATAGATAGATAGATAGATAGATAGATAGATAGATAGATAGATAGATAGATAGAAGGGTAATACAGATATGTATGTACTATATGAATAAAAAGATTGACTTATCCATGGTGATCTGGAGCAAGAATAGTAATTGGGAATTGGTTGCTTATGATGCTAAATATGCTTCAGGTTATGGTCCTTAGTGAAAGCAAACATCTCTTCAGCAATAGAATTTTTAACTCTTGGCTCTCCCAGCACAGAGGATACCTCAGTGTCTTTTTCAGTCATATGCAGGTTATTCTTTCCACTGCAAAACAGAGTGCTAGCTATTTTTCTGTGCAAAGCATAGAATATGGGGAACCAGAACTGTAACTCGGGCAGAATAACTGGGCATTGCCCAAATGTAGACTGTGGAAAAATTTGCTGGTGAGGGGAGCAGCTGCACAATATAGGCAAAAGGAACTGCACACCAGAAAACAAGAAAATACCCTTCCGTCCTGGAGCTGATATCCTCCGTTTCTTGTCTCAGGAGTTAGTCTACTTCTAAGTTCCATCCGTAAAGTTCTGTCTAACTGCAGAGGCAGAGTTCCCTTAAGAGGTCAAGATCACTTGATCATCCTTACACTAGGCTTTTGCAGCTGTGCAGATTACAAATTTGATTACTTTGTCTGATGACTCGTCATCTGGAGGTAAAGTGGGCTTCATTTGTGCTGTGGTTGCACAATGAACTTGTGCAAACACAGCAGAGTTGAAGCAACAGGTTTCTGGGGGAATAACATTTTATCACCTTCTAATTAAAAAGCTGGAATCTCATAGTTTGGCCTTTAGCATTGTTGTAGTGCATTTCAGGTAATTTTAGGGTTTAGGCTTAGTGGCTTCAGAGTGTGTCTTGATGTTGTAAGAAGGATCTTTACACGGTGATATGCAATATTCCATTTCCTTCCAAATGTGGAAGGTCAGCATTTCTGTCTGGTCTGCTGAAAGGGGCTTTGGAATCTTGCCATTATCTCCCAGGTTCTGCACTGGCTGCACAACTGCAGTGTTAGAAAATGTCAGAGGCAGGTAAGCACAAAGAGTGGGTAGGTATATTTCAGTTTTTGAAAGGAAACTGCTGTTGCCTGCAAAACTGCTTGTTGTGTCTTTTATTGTTCAGTAACAGTGGTGCTCCATGAGGGAATGCTTTGTGCTAGCATTAATGCAGTCCGTTCGTTTTGCTTCGGTTTATAGCCCTTAGAGTACAGTCACATTGGCTCTATTTGCAGGCAGCAACAGCTGCTACACCAGCAGTTAGCTGGGCCCAAAGGACAAGTTGAAATGAGGGTGGCTTTTGAAAATAATGTAAAAGCTTGAATGGAATGAGCAGGAGCAACTGCATTATTAAAAATGTTAGTGCCAAAAACAGTGGCACGTGTTAGGGACAATTCAGAATGTTACAGCCCTCACTGTGTTATGCTTTTACAAACTCCTTGGCATAAGAGATTTGGTTCAGGTTTCAAGGTCTTAGGTCCCCAGCTGAAGACGCAAGGAACTGGTTCTCCAAGTCGCCAGGCAGGGAAATTCTCAGGGGAAACTGTGCTAGATGAGCAGAAATCATGATTATGCTGTGTGAGCTGGCTATAAAACCCAAGTATACATCTCCACTCATTCCCAGTTGGCACCAAGGCCCAGTAGCTCAGTAGAAAGATATTCATTGGTACGATGGGCATGCAAATGCCAGACCAAAGGGAGGAGCAAATGGTGCATGCATATTCTGCCGTCTGGAGTGAAGTGTTAGCATTCTGACTTATGAGTTCTCTTGCTGCACAATTGCTGGCTAGGAGCAACGCAGAGCCTCAGGGGGAAAAATCCCTGTGGACTGGTCGTGAGCTTTTCATAAGCTCCAGCAGTGGCATAAGTCCTGGAAGAACTCCTCATTTAACATGTCTGCTGTAGGCAAAGCCATGTGGGATGTGAGTCCAACTAGGACTGGCATCAGCTATCACAGTTGATGGGGACCTTTTTGCTGCTTGCCTAGCTAGCCAAAAACACCCCCCCTGCCACTTTTGATGGCCAACTTGACTAGTTAATTGGGCTTACTTGGATTTTTGGCCCATTACCTTAGATTCCCATTGTGTCCATTTCCACAGTCAGCTTCTTAACCCTTGCCTTCTGCTCCAGTGTCACAACACA